ATCTTTGTCCAAGATTCTGCTCAGTCGGAAGCGAGTCAAATAGTCCAGCGAGCTGACATCGTCTGAAACATGTTACACGGGTACTGTCACGGCCAAGGTCAACTGACAAATACCGTTTTTGATGGATGTTTCGTCACCGGCAACTTGGGGTGCAGATCGGGTGCTGGTCGACGGCTGCTGAACATCAGGGGGTTGGAGGTTCTGCTCCAACATTGGCTGATACTCTGCGGAGGCATTCATCGGAGTCCCTTGCGACGAACCTTCGTCACGTTTCCCTTGCAATAACTGCAAAACCAGTTCATTGCCTTGCGCGAAGTCAACCGCAGACTTCACGTGGTCGTTAGCTTCGGCATCTGACCCAGCACGTTCGGTGGATTTTGGTCTTTTCGAGGTTTTCCGTTCCGGATCAGCCCCGGCGTTCAAAAGCCGCAGAGCAGCAGCATTGTTCTCTAGGATCACAGCAAGCTGCAATGGCGTAGTGCCATCTTTCATCTGGACATCCACAGAAGTGCCGGTTTTCATGCAAGTCTAAATTACTTGAAACTAACTTATCTCTGTCCGTTCAGAATAAACAACATCAATATACAAAAATGAATTAATGTAATGGGTCTGTGATTTGTCTAAATTCATCTCTATAGGACTCACATTCTAGAAGAAGAAGAAACAATAGGTTATATCCTGACAGCACCATTGCACAGAGCACTGATGGGTAGTAGTCACTCTTTCCGACTGTAGTGCACTTAAACATTTGCCGGTGAATTTAAGTTGAATTTGAAGTATGCTTCTACAAACAAATCTTGTATCCGACTGAAATAAAGTTTTTGCATTTATAATTATTTGCATGATTCACCTATCATAATCGAATAAACAGATATTTCCAACGTAAGCGCAAAGTAGTTTCACAGAAATCTAACAATTTCCGTTGAAGTCACTCAAAGTCAGGGAAAAAATATTCTTCTGAAAGCTAACTAGGTCAGAATGACAAAACCAAAAAATGTTGAAGGTACATACGTTACTGAGAGAAGGAAATAAAGCGTTGAAACGAGAGTAGCACTAATTGTTGTTAGTGCCTGATTCAGAACTTTGAGAATGTCTATCTTCCGCAATATTTTATTTCTGGTGTTTTCGTTTCCAAACTGTGAGAAACATTTTTCTGAAAATTATTCAGTGGTCAGTTAGCTGACCTCTCCCAAGTCATACTTTTCGTATCTCAACTTGGTAGGAGGGTCACAACGGGTTGCCAAGACGACGTACAGCTGAGCCTGGAGCCTTTAGCCTGGATCAGCCAAATTGTAAAAGCATGAGAAATGTACCCCATCAAGTCAAAGAGGTAGCACTCATCAACTCGCCTGGTGAGTTATGACCGCATCCTCCAAGATGAAATCACAAGTGAAAACAACGGACCTCACATCGTGGAGGCTGGATTGCTGCTGGCTAAAGCAGATATCAGTCAAGCTTGAAGGCACAGGGTGCTAAGAATATCTGGATTACGGATCCGAGCTGGTATGATTGTCTAATGATGGCAACTTAACGCAGGTCATTTCTACTGTCTTAAAGGGCTGGAAAAAGACCTGAAGAAAATCAAGTGGGACATTGCAAGACTCCGGGAAATCAGAAGAAAGGAGAGACTGTTAGAGTCTAACAGTGGACACCTCCTGTACTACAGAAGATCGGCAAGTGGAATTACAGTGGAGTAGGCTGAGTGATCACAGAAAATTAAGGAACAATGTGGTAAAAGTAGACAGCGATTCAGAGACCTTGGCAAGAATAATTCTGAGAGTTTAAATGGGATACGAACTACAAATGATCCAAACAGCGCTGAGATCAAGCGACCTCGATCAAAGGATCGAACAATTTTGTGAAGAGATACAAGTGCATGAGCATGGAAAGTGCCACTATACGTTTATCATTGCTGACTGCAACTCCAGAGTTGGACCGCAGCAAGGAATCGAATGCCTTATGGGTCGATTTGGCTGGGTGAAACAAACGACAGGAGCTACCACCTTGGGAAAAAGAACAAACCATTTATTATGAGCATCATTTTTCAGAAAAAAAGTGATAAAAACAAATGACGTCAAGAATCAATCGATGTCATCCTCAGTAACCTGTAGACTGCAGTGCAGGATTTTGCGGTGCTCAGCAGGTTTAATACAGAGCGACCATCTGTTCCTCAGATGCAGCGCGCCCAAACTCAACTATGGAAGGAAGGAAACTGTTGAGGATGAGACGCAAGATAATTAACGTGGAAACACTTTAGGAGAACCTCCCATTATTCCTACTCAAATTAAAAACCTTTCCGATTTTTTACGGAATGTAAAAAGAAACAGGAAAAACGGTGGGCATTAGCATAATGTATCAGGTATAAATAACGTAGTTTCAGAAGGGGGCATCTCTGGAAACAGATTCACAAAGGCTATCACAAAATCACGAAGCAAACGAAAAAAATCATGAAGAAACGAAATGCTCAAGGCATTAGGCGAACAAGGCATGTGCTGGCTAACACGTGTCTGTCAAACTGCGATGACT